CTAACGTTTATTTTATTTTAAATCTTTACTATCACTTCTTATTTTCTACTTCCGGCCAGAATTATAAGCGTGAAGGAGTTTATGCAAAGTTGTCTGGCGAACGCCAAGTATTTAAGTGTGGCCTTTTTGCCAAGCAGAAGAGAGGAAGCCGTGAGTTCGAAGCAGGCCGCTTACCTTAGAAGTTACGCAGTTGCTACTTTGCCTTCCAGGCCAGAGGTTTTAATCCTCTTGATAAATTAAACGTATTGTAGTGTTCACAGTCTCTGTGCTACATACGCTTTCTGTTATTATAAGGCCAATCTTATTCTAAAGTTAAATTAGAGTTTAGTTTTATTTTGATATCTTTTAAGTTAGACCCCGAGTGGAGGGTCATTGTATTCCGAAGTACGGAAGTCATTGTATATAAAGAAAAAATAAAGGGTTTTGTATACCCTTCGTCTGTATCCTGTCTACTTACTACAATTAGTGAACATAGCTTTAGTAAGCTCTCTGTTCTAGTCAGGTCATTGTATGTTTCCGAAGAAGGTTAGAAGAAACATTGAACCTGATAATATTTATATATGTTTGGGAAGACTGATTGCAACCAAAAAGGGAGGCGTACAATTACATGTTATAGTAGTCCCATATATAAAATTTCAATGTTCTAATGCTTCTCATTTTTGAGTTATGTAAAATAACGTACGTATAAATATCGCAAAAAAGACTGTTCTGAATCCATTTTAAATCCATTTTATAAAATGTTTTGGAAAAAATAGTCCTGTGTTTTTGTAACCTAGTTTGGGGCATTAAGTTCTACTCCTCCAGTAATGTGTTCTTCAGAAAATTTATATCTCTATTAGCATGTTTCCATGCAATACTTTTTCAAAGTTGTCTGATATTTTCTCTGTCAGGTTAAGATAGGATATTTTATTGGCCACGATATTCACTCAAATTTTTTGGAGGGAGGGGTGATTTGTCAATGAGGTTTACTCAATATGAATGAGCATTATCATCCATGAATAAAAAGTAGGATTCATATGCAGTCTGAAAAGTCTTACATAAGTTTCTAAGACCTTTTCCTGATATTTTTGGCTGGTCATAGATCCACTGCTAAGAATGTGTGGAAGCGTATGCCTATCGATTGTTATTCCTTTCCATACCATCAAACCTGCATTTTCGTAACAGTTATATTCCATAATATTCGGAGTAAAATTTCACATTTGTGACAACCTCCAAATGTAAACATGTTTAGAATCGGATGTTAAACTAAACTTCAACTCATTAGCAAAGAGCAGGCTGGACCATTGGTGTTCACTATAGTTTTGATGTTTGTTGTGCCAATTAAAGCAGATCTGACAGTGAAAGACATATCTTTGGCTCTCTGGCATAACTGCCTCTTTCATTAAGTATCTGTGAACTATCTGTGTGTATACAATTTGCCGTGATATAGCAGTTCCATTTGCAGCTGCATTTTCTGAATTTAACATCCAAGCAGTAGACATCCAAGCAGTCATTTGTGACTTTCCAGGCCTCCTTATAGCAGCTCCAGAATTCTGAAATTGTTTCACATATCTCACTCCATGATCCAGCTTCTAAACAGCTGAGGATTTGCCGCCTGTGTGATTTTTCCAGATGATACTTTGGTACCATAACAAACAGGGTTCGTATGGTCCTTAAGAGCCCTTAAAAGTCCTTAGATTTTTCAAAATCGATTTTTGGTTCTTAAAAGTCCTTAATTTTGGCCAAAATCAGCAGAAGGTCCCTTACTTTTAATGATATGAAATTTCTGTCTCTTATTATGACTGCCATTTTGAGTGTGAATTATCATTCTGGAGGAATATTTTTTGGCGATTCACTGACATACATGGTTATCTTTTGAATGGGTTAATAGGTTATACTAATTTGTTTCTAATATAAATGATAGGATACTCAAGTTTCTAAGCAAGAAGTGAAACATAAGCATTTCGAAATTCATTTTTTCTAATAAAGAGCTCTTAAACAACTTTTCGCTTTTGGAAATGTGAATTCTTTTATTAAACGGTTCTAAATTTGGCGACTTATCAGCATTTTGGCGATTTTAAGATCAGTTTTGTAAACAATTTTTAATTCTGAGATCTGAGAATTTTTCGACGATTTTTTTTAAAACATCGTAACATTGATAAATTTCATTAAAATAATGGTGATTTATTGAAATTATCTTTAAAAAATAACATTAAAATAAAACATTTTTATTTTTCGCTGTCATATTATAAAGTTTCATTTTGGCAACTTATTATACAATATTTTGAATCTGAAAAATAAACAAGGTATAATGCTATAAAGCACAATTTATGAAACAGCTCTTAGCAAAACCAAAATTAGCTATGTAGTTAATTAAAAAGTCTTCTTTTTAATTTTCCATAGTAAGAGTTTTTCCCATGTAATGGTCTCAGAATACTTAGAATTCTCAGAATATGCATCAGTTTTTCTCTATAAAATTAATTTTATACTTTTCCCCTCCCCCCCTTTTTTTTTCTTTCAAATATTTCTGACTTTTTGCTGTTACAGAATTGGTAGGGATAATTTTTCTTTAGGATTTTAGACATTGCAGCTTGGAAAGTTTAGAAGGATTTGAGGTAAAATCCTAGAATACGGTGCAGCCTTGGCGCGATTTTGAAAATTATCGCCAACACCAAAAATGACCCAAAAAACGTCTATGTATATATATTCTTTGAATACCCGTTTACTACTTCATCGTATATGTCCTGTTTTTACTGCTCATCATAAAAATCGCCAAAAGTAGCCAAATCCCGTGTGCACCGAATACTAGGATTAAACCGGATTTGAAGCCATGATTCTAGAAGATTCGAGAAATATCTGACAAAATGAAAAATGTCTCCATGGTATCAACATGTAATAGATGTATTTAACAGAAAGTTTGCAATGAATTTCTTACTTTTTGGAAAACGTCTGGAAGAACAATGAAATCATAATATTTGAATGTTTGGCTAATCTTTGGAATTTGGTAACAGGTAGTTTGGCGACATTTTGGTAAGGCGATAAAGGTTACTAGGTAGGACTTTAGCAATAATCTGTGAAGTACACAGTTCGAATCATAGATTATTTTGTCTCGGAGAAATGAGAGATCATGAGACATGTCATGTGATATTTTCCGGAAAATTCCCATCGTGATAATTCCATCTAATAAGCGCTTAGAAACAATTTCGCTGCTAAAGTGCAGAATCGCCCACTTATTTGTTTGGCGCTCTTTACAAGAGTAAGAAGAATTGGATTTTTGTCAGTTTTCTGTGACTTTTTTAGTGAAAATAGGTCGATGTGTACGTGGATAAAGTCAAGCGTGTGCGCAATGTTATTTTTGTGTAATTCTGGGATGTTTTTTTAAGCGAAAAAAGGTCGACGTGTACATGGATATCGCGTATGCACAATTCTTAAAAACGCGCGAAGCAGTGGGCGATTCTGCACTTTCTCCCAATTTCGCACATAATCTTCGTCATGATTAAGCACTTTTGTTCCATAAAAGTTCTAGCATAAGCATAATTCGGCTAGCAGATTGTTGGAAAAAAATGTTGAGAGGGGGGGAAGATGCTTTTACTTCATGAAAACAAAATGGCGTCCAAAAAAGAACAAGCAGGTTGCTGTAACAGGGTTGGTCGCCAAAAAATCGCCAAGTTACCATAATCCGAAGATTCACCAAATGTTTTACTTCTGATACTAGAATCTTAACAAAGGTCATGGTAAAGGGTCATGGTTTGTTGCAGCATGATATCCATGAAAATACTGGGTCTGTACATCATTTGGGAGACAATGCAGAACAGTACCTTGCTGTGGTTGAAGATTATATTTACAGTATTGTATCCACATGGGACAATTACAACGTTCTAAACTTTATGTAAGATAGTGCCCGTCTCATTCCGCACATCCTCTCCATGCATGTCTCGATGTCAGTTTTCTAGGATGCTACCATCGTGGCCTTCTTAATTAGCTATCAAGGAGACCTAACCTAATGCCTTATAATTCCTTCCTATGGGCAAGGCTGAAAGAGGAAGTTTATTATGCAAAACCAAGAACTCTTGATAAGGAGAAGCCAATTTGCCAGTATCTGGCAAACGTATCACAGGTGAATAATGGTGGTGCTTATGTGGAATTTTAGCAATGTATTAAAATTCTACCATTGTAAGGAATAAAATGCTTTTTGTTTCATTAAAATTGGTTAGTTATTAACAAAGGTATAAGCAATTTTTAATAAGGAGTTAATTCCCGCCCACCTTCTAGGCATGTGTAAAGCAAGGCAAACTGTTGCTATAGCTGGTTTACGTTTGGTATTTAAATTATTTCCTGCCCAATTTCTAAAATGATATAGGTAGTGTAAAATATGTTATTGTTTTAATCAATTTTCTCATTATACTTGTAGAGACATTAGGTATTTTTCAGAAGCAGGCGAGATAAAAAATTAGCAATGCCTTTGCTGGGAATCAAACTGTGGACCTCTGGAATACACGCCCAGCGGGCAGAACACCACACTACAAAATCATTCCAAGAAGGCAGGAGAAATACCTTATATACTAACCCTTTTAAAGGGCAGCTGGGGTTTTTAGGGAACCCAATTGCCAAATCCTGGGTGGGGAGAATCATCATCCACCACCCTTTTAGTTCGAGTGCCATTAGGTATTTTTTGGAAGCAACAGAGATTAAAAAATGTGCAACGCTTTCGCCGGGAATCGAATCGAGGAACTCTGGAATACGTGCTCAGCGTGCAGACCACCACACCACGAAGGCATGCCAAGAAGACGGGAGAAATGTCTTATATGTCACATTTTGCAGTGCCATATAATATATATTTTTGTTATTTTTCTAATTGATAAAAAATTATACAGTTAAATTGTGTACCTCATTAAAAATCTGGGAAATAAATCAACATATTTTATGCCCCTTATTAAATCTAGTTTTTAAATTTTCATTTTTGTTTATAATTTTTACTTCAGTTTTTTAAGTGTCATTACATAATTATTTGTTGGTTTCAGCTGTCCTCCTTTATGGACGGGTGAAAGGTGTGAAAGTCCATCTCGTAGATGTGATGGCTTTTGCTACAATGAGGGGATATGTTATTATGAAAAAGGTGAAAGACTCTGCTCTTGTCCTGGAGAGTTTTCTGGATCCCGCTGTGAAAAATGCAGTTCTATAAAGTATGTGTAAAAACTTTTCATTGCTTAAATGTTGTTTATTTTAGAAAAAATATTTATAAAGAAATGTAAAATGGCTTTTAAATATTTTAATAGTAAAAACTGATTGTGCATATTCATCAAATGCTTAACTTAGAGGTAGAAGCATGTCAAAAATTAATTAACTCTCTGAGAAGGAAGTTCTGCTGTTGAAGAGTTGTGTTTAAACAGCATTTAGGAGCCATCTAAATATAATTACTTACTTTATTCTTTGTTTTCATAACTTTCCATTGGTTTGAGTGATATGTAAATAAATAAAGAAAATAAAATATTTTAAATAGGATATACATAATGTTATGAATATATATAATGTTAATGGATAAAAGTAGGCATGCTGCTCAGAGGTTATTTGGTATAAGCTTCATAAATGTATTGAAATTTTGTTATTAAAATCAGATGTGCTAATTTAAGAAGAGTATGTTTAAAAAAATTAATCTTTCTATCCTTTTAAAAGAAGATTATTGTAGGGTAATTATTTTCCTTTAAAAATTCATTAACAAAGCTAGACCTGCTTAGTTTTCATGTTTATGTTTTAGGATGAGTATTTAATCTGATACTTTCTCAGAGTTAATTTCTATTATCAAATATTTAATGCAATCTCTTGCAACAGTCTGAAATAAAAAGGAATAATATTAAATATTCAAAAATTAATTTTAAAAAAGTGAAAGATTATTAGTTTAGCTCTCTGAGTGGCATGGGTTTTGGGATCTGTCATGAAGACCTGTATTTATGGAGCATTTATTAGCTAAATTTATATAATTACTTATTTTAGCCTCTATTTTTCATAAACTTACATTCATTAAGATTACATTTACATTATTCAAGAAAGTAAGAAAGCAAAATATCGTAAGTTAATATGTATCAAGGAACAAGAAATCTCATGACTAGATAAAGCTGGTCATGCCGCTCAGAGGGGTAAATCCACTTAAGAAGAGCATAACCTGTTTTCATTGGATAATATATTGAATTAAGAACATGTATATTTCATTCATGTGAACTTTAAAAAAAATAATTAAAAATTTAGAAATAAAATTTCTTTTCTGAAGGGAAATGTAATTAGCTTAAAATATTTATGAAGACTGGCTAATTAGCTTAAAATATTGTGTGCAGATTGACTTAGCACAAAATGTTAGATATTGCCGTTGTTGTTTATTATGAGATGTAAACATTGTCTCAAAAATTCTATGTTAAATTTAATTAATTGCCATTGTATTTTGGTAATTAATTTTTTATTGCAAAATATTTTGTCAGTTGTATTTAAAAGTAATGGTTTTCTAGCCCAAGATCTTGTCAAATTAGATTAATGGATTGTATTCATAATGGTTTAATTCTTGAAAACTTCAAATATTTATACCTAATTTAAAAATCTAAATAAAAATCCTGCAGACATCTCAAACAAAAATTACTTTCCTGTTGAACAAATTTCTGCAATCTTTTCTTTACACAGAAAATGTCCTTGCATGCTAAATTTAAAGGATTATTAAAAGCATATGGTCTTACCAATGTCCTAAATTGCATGAATTATTCACAGCGAAACTCAAGATGAAAATTTTAATTATTTTCTTCTATTAACCTATTGTAAATTATCAAAAGAAACTCTGTATGGTTATGTATTATCAAAAGTAGCAAATTAAATTAATGTATAGCTGCACAGTTTTTATCGCAATAAACATTAATATATAATTTAGGCTAAAGTAATATGCCAAATAACAATTACAGAAGAAATTAAACAAGAAGAATCAGCGTAATATGTGTAAATTTTGCAGTACTAGTTTCAATGGTTTAAATACAGAACTGCCTTTCTTCAGCTGCCTAAGTGCAAATGAACAAGATAGACTATGATGATAAAATATGAATGGCTAGAAAGGAGTAAGGCTACTGGTGCCATCTATTGATGAAACTAAAAAACTAAAACATTATTTCCTTAAAGGCTGAGGGTAAGATGGACTGGAATTAGAATTGTTAACTAGAATAGTAAGATTGTTTTGAATGTGAAATGGCTCTAGAAAATATAATTCAACAATAGAAGATGTTTTTGAATAATTTTGGCTGCAGAAAAGTAAGAAGTGTGATTTCCTTACCAACAATGCTGGGCAACAGAGTATTTCTGTGTTTCCTTTTTCCTAACATATGCTTCATGTTCTTTAATGCAAAATATTAAGGCTGTCATAGTTTCTGTCTATTTCTATCTCTATCTAGTCTATTTTCTATCTCATTCATATGTACTTAGGCAGCTGAAGAAGCTGGTTCTCTATTTAAACCATTGAAACTAGTCCTGCAAAATTTACAAATATTACTCTGATTCTTATTGTTTAATTTCTTCAGTAACATTAATTTATATTAGTAATTAATGCTTTGATCAAAGAAATAAAATTGAACTTAAGTAATTGTCATACTGTATGATGTATAATTTACATACACATAAAATTGAATCTATTAGCTGCCAGAATGATGGTATGTGCAGAGTAGAAGCTTCGGGTAATCTGTCTTGTGCGTGTATGGCTGGCTTTCATGGTACGTTCTGTGAACTGTCCAAATGTGACGGTTTCTGTCAACATGGCAAGTGCACTATAACCAATGGTCTGCCATTATGTATTTGTGAGCCTGGATATTCTGGGAAAATGTGTGAACAGGATTTGTGTGACATACATTGCTTGAATGGAGGTGAGTAAAATAGCTTACTGTAATATTCTTATTTTTAGCTGCTTATTGTTTGCCTACATTAAAAAAATTATCATTATTAAACATTTTTTTGAACATCTTAAGTAATGCTTTAATGACCAATGTAATGAAATTATTCTAATTTAATGTGAAAGAGAAATTATTTTTTGGCAAAGCAAGTTTAATGTATTGATAAGTTTCTAGTCTATAGTATGCTTACGTTATAAATTAATCTATAAGTAATTTATTATATATCAAAATGTTTTTTAATGAAAATAGAATTTCAAGGAAACTGAGTGTAAGAGTCCAGCCTTAGATTTATATTGAAATTTCAGAATATAGTAAGAGGAACTTTGGAAACTTTCATGTGCTGCATTTATCATTATTACAGTGCTTGTCATTTTTTATTATTATATTTCATTATCATATTTGCTTTATTGAATGAGGATTTATAAATGCAAATAATAATTTGGATCAGTCTGCTAAAGTTTATGAACAGGCATACAAATTCTAACAGTACAGTTTTCTGTATTTTGTTTTCCATCATTTTAATCCCAGTTTCAGTTGGTAAGATAAATTGAATTGCTGCAATCTTGTTGGAAACAAATATTTGCTGTCTTTTTGGATGTAATCAAACAGGAATGCATAATGATTGAATTGCTTCATGCATGTACAAAATCTATTTTTGTGTATAAAGTACTTCTAATTGTTTGCATTTATATGCATGAGTAAACACATAATTCCAATGGCAAATTAAAAATTTATTTTATGGAAGCAACCTTAGTTTTTGCTGTTAAAAATTTCATACTACTAGAAACATATGATGATGAGGTAAATGATTGCACAGTAACCTTTTTCAGATGTGTCACTAAATCTACATAATTGGAAATTTGCGATTCTGTATCAAAGGACCTTTCTAGAAATACATGTAAATGGAATTCAAAAGAAGAATTTTTTAACGTAATTTTCCAACTTTTGCTTATTTCTTCTGAAACTAGATCATCCCATGTATGTTTTAATTTGCAGAGTTTGTTAAGAAGTATCTTAGTTGATATAATGAAAGGTACAAATAATCAAATAATTTTTTATAGATGATAATACAATGTTTTATCTGAATACCCTTTCAATTTAATAAACAATTCGTCTTTATCTAGGTCTCATTGGAGACCAAGAAGGCTTTTTATCAATAATATGGTGTTTATCACTAGCTAAACTTCTTATGCGTATTTTCAAATTCTTATTCATCTGCATACTGTCTTTGGAGCTCAGATCTACCTTTTCTTAACACTGTTATATTTCAAATACTAATTTAGATACCATTACATGTCAACACATCATCCCATGTAGAAATCTTGTAACACTATATGTGTAGCATTAAGAAAATAACATTTTGATCAGCAGCCAGTTGCTTTAGAACTAATGTGAAGAAAATGGTGTGAAAGCAGTTCCATAATTAATGGCATTAATACTAAAGATCTGTAAATTCTCTGAATATGTCAATATTTAATTTCAAATATAAAGAGTGCATAATTTTTATTAATATCAGCTTTTATTGTAATACTGTGAATCCAAAATCTCAAAAGAATATTAATTAAATTGTTTTGTGATTTTGAAGCAGCCATTAAAATATCATTGATAGAAACACCTGACGAGGATTTTGCATTAGCATTAAAAACTATTTTTTTTTTTTTTAATTTATGTAAGCTTGATTAATTTATGGTAAAATGATAAGCTATATATGAATTTCCATTCTCTAATTCACAATCTTCATTGAAGAAATCAATTTCACATGATCTATCAACAAATGTTTTTGTTTAAATTTAGTATGCTGATGGTAAATTTCTGCCTTTGAAGAAGCCTCTTGAATATCTTTCCTAATCCAAAATGAATTTCGCACAAATTTTCTTCAGTTGTTACAGGCTAAGAATGTAGAATATTCTCTAATCCCCAACATAACTTATGTAATTCCTCATATATAATATATTTACCCTTGAATGATTCATAGGTACTGAATTACATGGCTAATGTATTTTAAAAGTTGCCATACCTAAAATAACCGAACCTAATTTTGAACTTAAAATAAAAAGAAGGTATGGATCATGTTTTATAATATTTTCATGTATTAAAATTAAATGTTAGTTCTGTTTGATTTGTAGAGTAACTAAAACTATTACCAAAGTTGAAGGTAAAGATGCAGAAGTAAATTCATCAATAACCTTTTCTATTTTGAGAATACTATGAAATCTTGAAAGTTACTTTTGAAATGTACACCTAATACAATTTTCTGTCACTCAGAACAATAACCCAAACAAGAAACTGAAACTGCACTATCTCTGACACTTAATTTTAGACTTTTTTTGTACAGTTCATTGTAATGAATGACTGTTTAGGTTAGGTTTGAATATAGGAAATTGCATGAGAGCTATCTGCCTAAGACAAGAGATGACGTGGAAGATACGACACATCTTCCACCGACATAACATCTGTGTTGCATAAATCTAAGGGAAGCTGTATTTATGTTACACATGGGGTAAAATCACGAAAACTAAGCATGATTAATAAACAAACGACTGCCAGTGTTTAATAAGCATTAGTTCCTCACTAGTTCTTATTCTGCATAATGAACTCATTGCAGAACAGAATAAAGTATGTCTATACTCAATATTTGAAGTAGTATTTTACAAATTCTCTTCTCTTTTATGCATCTTACTTAAAATTTTTTTAATATTTTAATAAATTATGGTTCTCTTGACAGTAGGTACATTTATAATTGTTAGTAAATTCATTTGCTTTGTTATTGATCTTATAATCAATTCCTTCTGACACTTAACTATTGTGCAGTGGCCTTTGCACAGTTGTTTATAAAAAAGTGAACACAAACAACTTCAGAATTTTATGCTTTTCATCAGTCGTTCCCATCAGAACATAGCTAAAGAATCTAAATTTAAGAAAATTGTATAAACAAATAACATATCACTGAAGTTCCCCTCTCACAGAAACTTCATTCATCATATTTACTAAACTTAAAACTGTAAAATTTTATACATTTAGAATTGGGTTTAATGATATCAGTTCTCTAATATAAGCTTATGTTTGATGCTAGTTAGAGTAATGATCTTGTAATAATTATGGTGTTGTAGTGTAATTATTGGATCATCCTGAAAGTTATGTGGTTTTTCAAATTGAGGTGTGTTTTCTTTTAATTATTTTGTTATTGCCAATAAAGAGCGACCTTGATCAAAATAGGTGTGAAAACGCAATCTTTTCTGCTTGCACTGCGTAATTCTAGCATATGTTGAGATATAGTTTTTGTTTCACTGCAGTGCTAAGATTGCAGAATCGAAAAATTCATTTTCTTCATGTGTTCTTTCATTTGAAAAGAGGAAAAATGCTATTCAGACTACCTGAAAAAAAAAATCTTTCGTATATGGGCAAAGTGCTGTTTCTGTTGACACAGAAGGAAATTTGAAAAAGTGCCAAAATTTCTGCCTCAAAAATGATGCTTAATCTAGATAATCATCCTCTATGAACAAAGAGTTATTAAAATATGTTGTCTCTCAAAATTCACTTTATACATTTCTGGAACTCTCAAACTTAATATTCTGAAAAGTATAGTAGAATTATTTGAATAAAATTGAATGTGTAAGCTGCTATGATGTATGTATATCTCATTCTTTAACTGAGCATAATATGCTTTCTCAGATTTCAGTATGTGAATTTTTTCTAAAACAAAATAAATTTATAAGATAATTTTTAAATGGCTTATTACTGGAGCAGAATAGTGGATATTATGCAAAAATGTTACAAGAAAAAGATCATGGGGTAAGGAAAAAGAACCTCCTTTTAGTAACATCAAGAGTTAGGGTCTACCCTTAAAAATAATGCTTTGTGTGTGATGGGACTACAAAGAATCTGTATATTTATGAATTATTGCTATCAAATAAATTATCTGACAGTAAACAATACTGTTTTCAAACAGTTTTAAAAAGCAGAAATTGAAGCAAAGTACCCAGCACTGTCGAATCATCAAAGTAGTATCTTCATGGTAATTTCCACATTGTATGAATGTCAGATAAAAAACTTATTGAATGTGGCTGTGATGTTTTGTGTCACTTCTTTTAGTCACCAGATCTTTTCTCCTCAGATTTTAATTGCTTCAGGTTGTATGGCCATTCTCTGTTTTCCACTATACTAAATTAGACACTACAAGGAACCTGGCGAATTCTCACAGAAGTGAATAACTACCAGAGCAGAAGAAGGGTGAAAATAACCCTTTATTAATTCAAAATAGTTAACAGAAAGGCACACTTTTCAAGCATTACCAAGGCACTGTCGAACTTGCACTGAAATTAAAAGCGTAGAATATAATTCAAGTCAAGATCTAAAATAAGTAGTGCTGGATAGCACGTAAGTTACGTCTTAACAGGTCGACTCACAAAAACCTAACAGGCATGATGGTAAATCCGAAATGGCTAAGAGGCTTACTATCGCAACAGTGAAACGTTAAACTTAGAGATTCACTCGTTTAAATATGCACTTCACTGAACTTTACATTCTGGCGAGAGAATGTGAGGGGAAGTTGAGCAGTTCAGATTAAGGTATCAACTTAAAATAATTTTGCTATGAAAAATAAGGAAAACCCTACAAGGTCACTTCAAAATTTTTGGAATGCGCTGGACTTCACCTCTGTGAACACTGTCAACGAACACCTTGATAACTTAAAAAACAACCTTATATTTAGCGTAGGTATAATGAAACACTCAATCGATTTCGAGGGCAGCTAAAGGTCCCTCCTCATCAGGAGAAAGAAATACATAGAAAGAAGAAAATAGGAATCACAGAAACACGTGGTGCTTATCAGCACTGCACGTGATTATAACTAGATTTTTAATCAGAGTTGCACTGGCCGCCTACTTTTACTGAGCCAGGCTGTCTGATCAAGCATAAGAAATATTAGCGAAGTTAAAATAGGGAGCGAGGGGCAAAATGCACATTAAGCTCAA